TATTCAGAGTAGCTTAGTGCTTAGATCACAGCTCTTCTTCTTTCTCCTCTCCTTGTTCATAATGTCTCAATAATCTGACCACTCCTCTTCTTTTCGCTCCTCCCCTGCTTATAAGGTCTCAGTGGTCTGACTACTCTCTTTTCCCACTCACCTGTTGTGTCTTAGTGGTCTGACTACTCTCTTTTCCCACTCACCTGTTGTGTCTTAGTGGTCTGACTACTCTCTTTTCCCACTCATCTGTTGTGTCTTAGTGGTCTGACTACTCTCTTTTCCCACTCACCTGTTGTGTCTCAGTGGTCTGACAACTCCTCTTCTTTGTTCTCCTCCCCTCCTCATAGTGCTCACTGCTTGGACCAGTCCTCTTCTTCTCTCTCCTCCCTGGCGCCATAGTGTCTTATTGCTTAGACCCCTCCTCCATTTTTCTCTCTCCTCCCCAGCTCATAGTATCTCAGTGGTCTCACCACTTGTCTATCTCCTCCCTTATTTATTATATCTCATTGCTTAGACTACTGCTCTTCTTCTCTCTCCCCCCCTTGCTCATAGTGCCTCTCACCACTCCCCTTCTTTATTTTCCTCCCCACTCATAGTGCCTCAATGATCTCACCACTCCTCTTCTACTTTTTTGTCCCCCGCTCATAGTGTCTCAGTGATCTGACCACTCCACTTTTTCTCTTTCTTCCCCTGCTAATAGTGACTTAGTGGTTAGGCTACCCCATGATATCTTTCCTCCCCCATTCATATTGTCTTATTGGTTAGAACACTCAATTGTTATCTCTCCTTCACAGTTCATAGTGTCTTAGTGGTTAGACCACTCCTCTGCGTATTTCTCTCCTCCTTTTCTTTAACTTGTTTCCTCTACTGTCCCATTGTTTGTTCTCCATATTTATGTACTCCCTCGTTATTTAATAAAAGTTAAATTATACAATTTACCAACTTAGATTTGGATGCCGAAGGAAAAGTTTTCTTTAGTGTGTTGAAACAAATATTGCTAATAGCAACTTACCTATTAAATTTGACATAGGAGAGATTAGGACTCTATAGGCATCAATCTACATGGCATGTTGACACATTTTGTGATATCATTCTGTGATATTCTGTCAAGCTTACTTTTTATAGCAAAATCTTGGATCTCCGTCAAGTTCAATATAGACAGATAATCTCATTTATTATTGCATTACTCTGGACAAAGTGCCAAAGCAATAATATAAAGTCACAATGAGGTTCAGGCTGTAGTAACATTTTTAGAATTGTTTTCTTTTTGGAGCCTATATAAATACAAGTTGCTTGGAAGCTAGCATTAGAAGTTTGCCTTTGTGCAGTAGGTATGTGATATTCTTTAACCCAAGAGGCACGCATTGTCAGAACTAATGAATTTCTGTACAGGTAATTGCAGGCACAGATAGTCCTAAGGTATAAACAAATGTCTTGGCAGCCCCCAGAGACCTTACATTGTCTGGAACATTGGAAATAATTTCCAATAATGTTTTCACATTGTTTAGCCCTTAACTCTAAAATCACATTTGGCTCACATTAAACATATTGTTAGTTTGCCCATATTTGTACAATAATCTTCTGCACAGTAGTAAAAACACCTAAAGGATCACATAGACTTTTATAACTAAGAGTTGCTGGTAAGGGGGAAAAATTACTTCCTGGTTAATCCTAATGACAATTGATGGCCAGCCCTAAAAAGCCAAGAGTTTCTGCTTCAGTGCTACACACAAAGATACCGTAGCAGTACATTTTGACTCAACAGAGCATCTAAACTATATGGCCATGTTTGTGGACTCCTGACCATCACATTTATATGAACTTGTTGGTGTCACCTACATGTCTGATCAGTTTCTGTTCGGGATCTGAACCAGGGTCTCTGGCACAGGTTTTTTGTACTCAGCAACTCTCCTTATGGACACTTTGGCTCCACTTGCCAACCAGCTGTAGAAGATCTGTAATTAACTCAGGCTTTAAATACCAGACACTTCCTGTGCTCTGAGCCCGTTGATTTGGGTTAGTTTCCTGTGAGAGCTACCTCTGTGTCATATGCTGGATTTACACCGTGACCCTTGCCTGTTTCCTGACTATTCTTCTGCCTGACGATTTTGTACCTTGCTGCCCGTCCGTGTCAAGACGTTTGCACGCCTCCCGACTACTCTCCTGGATCCTAACTTTGTACTAAGCTGCCAGACTGTTGCCGACCCTGCCTGCCTGACCACATATTTGCCTTATACTCAGCCTAAGATCCACTTTGGACTCAGCCTACTACAGGTGCGTTTCAGTTCGAGATCTCTTTCCAAAACCTGGTAGATAAAGTCAAGCACATAGCCTTGCAATTTCCATCAACAAACAGTAGTATACAAATACATGATTGACAACTGTGAGTTTCCAACCTTGTGTCATTTGTTTGGGGAAGGACCTTTTCTGTTCCAGCATAACATGAAAAGGTCTTTCCTTTCCACAGAAAAAATCCTGACATATTAATCGTAACCCTTCATTGGCCCAGTAAGACTTGCTATCAGTTTTTCTCATGAAACATGAAAACCAAAGTGAACTTCAATTGCCTATTATCCTTTGCTATAATTTGTCACTAGGTTTATGCTGAGGAGAAATAATGTACATTTCACTCAATAAATATGTGCCAACTTTAGCCAATCATTGTGTTCTTTATAACTTGCAGAGTATTATTTCTGAATCAGAGTCATATTTCTCTATCTTTCACTTGGTCTGCAATAAAACGAGCTTTAATAAATATTTAAATGAATAACACATACCCATTTCAGCTAATATATGCCAAATTGATTAAAAACTGTAGACATAACTATGCAATGACCCCAAACATGATTTCTTATGCAATGAAATCAGTCTGTGCACTACGCCTGAATAGAACACAATGAGTGAGCTTTTTTATCCAAACCATGCCATTAAGCTAATAATTATAAGCATACTGTATGATGGCACAGCTTTCATGAATGTATCTATAGATAGATTGAGGATATGTTTTCCGTGCCTGCATGATTTCCGTTGTGAAATTACATCTATGCTTCTCCAAATGCTGAGTTTTCTAAGATAGGATGCAAACATTATCATTTTAACTTCTGTGAAAGACACAAAGGGCCCCAATGGTCCCTAATGTGTGCAATGAGGGAAAGTGTAGTGCAGCAAGTGTAGTGATGCTGTCCCTCATTACACTGTGTGCACCTAAAACATCCAATCATATGCAAAGAAATGTGAAATGTAGAAATGTCCATACTGTAGCTGCCATCTTTATAGCAGTACTGTAAAACTAGGTGATCACCTATCTTCTTGTCTTCGAACTACATCTTTGTCCAATACACAGCGAAGAACAAAGTACCAGTGTCGCTGCACAAAATACATAGAAGAAGGAATGCTTGGAGTGAAAAGGAGTAGACATGGATACTCCTTGGTGGAAAGTAGAAGTATAATTCTGTATTAACATCAGCCCGCTTATAAGAGGAAGAGTTAGGCCTTCTATAGACTTGAAATGGGAGTCAGATCATTCTGTAAATGTACATAATGTCTGTATGTTTATCCATTGAGCTGACATCTCAGGATCTGGTCTTATCTCAGTGACACAGCAATTGTCCAGAAAAATGCATATGGCCCAAGATTACTAGCGCAAGGGGTGTCACAGAAAAACATTTTAGTTATCTGATGCCTATAGCTAGCCACTATGAAACAGACCATCACCACTTGTATTTATAATTCTGGATGGGCTACAATACATCTTGCCTTAGTTTTCCTCCCCTTCTGTAGAAAAAGTAAATCCACTGCACAGGTCACATGACGTCTGGAAAGGGAAGTTGATACTAGTAATCCCAAGTTATACATTGACAGTATAGATTGCCTTTTAAAATATGTTGAATATAGGTGTCAGGTCTGCTATAAAATGGACATAGCAGATGCCTTCTCTGATAATTGTATGAGCAGAACAAAAGGTGGCCTAAAGCTGACCATACACCTTCAATGATTTTCTCATTCAGCCCCATTGGACTGAAAAATCTCACAATTCTTCTGTTCACACTAAAGTGCGTGCAAGGGTACAGCGGACAATTTTTCACCCAGCTCCTTGTAAAATTGTCTTTTGGCAAGCATGGTGGTGCTAGCAGTGCCCCCCACAGATTAAATTTCGTCCCGATTCAGCAGGAAATGACCAATATTCGATCTATGTATGGCCAGCTTTACAGTTGCCAGGTATAACTGATAAAAGTATAAACATCATGTATCTAAAGTAATGTAGTTGGTTTGTATGTATTACAACTAAACTAGAAATATGAACCATTGAAAACACAAAAACAAGTAAGAATATTATATACATTTTTTATTTACATACATACATATAAGCAGGTTGTATCTTCACATTAATAATAGCAGTCATACTCAGACTTAATTAAACAAAAAACTACCAACTGCAGAACCCATACCAACCAATCAGAATCCATCTTGTACTGGTCTGACTTCAGCAAAATGAATTGTTATTGATTTCTATGGGTTTACTGCACTTTGTTTTTTGGCTGTTAATTGGCTGTTAGTGTGTAAAATAGCTCATATGGCTTGAGGTGTGAGGGATTTGTAAAGAGGCAGCCTAAAATACAATTAGTTCCACCTATCTGGTGCAGAAGCATACTTTCACATTTTAAACATTGCTGAAAAATGATCTTCTATACTTATACAAAATTTAAAAACATATATTACAAAGAACACCAGACAACCCCCCAAAATTTAGAATTGCTGACGTCATTGCTGAGTCACTGACCTGGAGCAAGCCTTGAGCTAGTGGACTGCTGGGGCACTTGATGCACATACTTGATTGGAGTCAGCAGAGAGAAGGAGGACAAGGATGGCAACCCCAGGTAAATAAGTCAACAATGTTAGCTGCCATATTTCTGTCCTTACAGGTTTCTCCCTGAGGTGATTTCATGCCAACATTTTTCTGATGGGGAAAGTGCTGCCACGTAAAGCGCAAATGTGCAAGAAGAGGTTACCAATGCATCATGTTACACTTTCTCTTTATGATTTGATTGGCTGTAAAGGGAATTGAGGCCTACAGAGTGTTTCCTTCTCTCCTCTTTCTCATTCTCATGCAGAATGTTGTCACGCAGGATTTCCAGTCTCACACTGGTGCTCACCGAGTAGGGTGCAAAGAGATAGTCATAAACTAGGCATGCCAGCACGGCTCCTGTTATTGGCCCCACCCAGAAAATCTGTAAGTGGGATAAAAGAAAAGTTTAGAATGTATCCCAAAAGTAACTGCCCTTACATGCAAAATACCTTTGTTTTTTCATTGTGATAGAAGAACTTTTCCTTCTGCCCCAAAGCAAATATTCAGATTCTGCTTTAATTACTGTGTTGCAATATACACTATATAGCCAAAGGTTTGTGAACTTCACCTAACCATCATGCCTACGATATGGCCAAAAAGCCTGTAGACAATCCTCCAAATGACTTAGTTTAGGTGTTTCCAATGAATGGTACTGTTCATGCTACAACAAGAACATGTTCAACAGTTGTGTGCTTCCAAACATGTGGAAACAGCTTTACGAAGGCCCTTTTTTGCTTCAGCATAACAGTACTCCCGTGAACATAGCCATCTCCATAAAGACAGTATGGCAAGTTTAAAGTAAAGGAACTTGAGTAACGTGCAGAGAGCCCTGACCCCATCCCTACTTATCACCTTTGAAGTGAATTAGAACTCCAATAAAGAGCCAAAAAATCAGTACCTGATCCAATAAAGGCTCTTTTGGCTGTTTTGAAAGGGTGAAAATTCTCACAGACACAATCCAAAATGTTGTGGAAAGCCTTTCCCGGAGGACCAAATTCACATTAATGTCAATGGTTTTGGGATGGGATATCAAGCTAGTTCTTATAGGTGTGATGGTCAGGTGTTCACAGACCTTTGGCCAAATAATGTAGGGAATATGGTAATTATTATTAAGGGTCTGCCCATTTTGTTTCTCATATTTGGGCATGCTACAAATCCTTCCCATTTTTTGTGTTTTGGGAAAAACTGTTAAGGATAAAAATAACAAAACAAAAATACTAAGAAAAAGTGAAAAGCAAGTGACAGGGGCAGGGGACTGGTGGATTTCTGTCAGCAGGCAGGGCTGACAACATCTTTTGGGATTTCAGAGCAGTAAAGGCTCTGTGTTGTCAGTCCAAACACGAAGTTAAGAACACTGGATTTCTGGCATATCAACAATAAAGCTATTTTTCTGTACTTGCAGTATTTTTTGAAGCGATACAACATGATAAAATGCACATTTATTACAGCAATGTAGTGACTACGTTTTTGTTTTAATTTTGCCAAAACATACACTTTCAATCAAAAAGGTACAGAAATGTTTAGGGGTAGAGTATTTTGTACCTTCTGAAGTCGGTCTTGTTGGATGATTTTTGGTAAGTTTGATGAAGATGGTGCAATAACATGATTACTTCTTTAACATCATGACGATACCAACTTGCTTGCAAGGCCCATTATATTTTGTTTAGTAGGACCTGGGCTCTAGCTTTATCATTCTTATAAAATGACTGCAGTACAGAACTGTATATTGGAGAAACAGTATTCATAGTACTGTAATCTCTTTATATGACATGCAAAGACAAGAAATACTGAAGACAATTCTCACCCAGTGATATTCAAAGTTTCCCATAACTAGTGCAGGACCAAAAGAACGTGCTGGATTCATGGAACATCCGGTGTAATATATCTAAGAAAACAAGTAGACAAAAAATATTTACTCGGAATACTCTTTTCATTCTGATGGCTTCACTATAGTACATATTGTCAAACCCAAGGGCATCCCCAGCCTTTCCTCAAACCTGAGGCTGCGGGGGGTGGGTGTAGGTGGTAAATGCTAACTGGGGGGGAATTGGCAGGTGCTCCTGACAAATAGTGACATCACTGGTTGCCAGGAGCTGGGCAGGATGCCATCCAGAGCATCCCTGGTTGCTAAGAGCTGGGTGGGGAGATCTGAATGACCCTTACACATCTTCTGGCTTGTAGCTTGGGATGCTCTGGCTGGAAAGAGGGTGGCAGGCACACAGTAAACATTGTGCAGGAGAGTGGCTATGCTGCTCTGCCTGCTGCCCCCCATGAGATGCCACCTGCCACCATAGAGATGGTCCTGATCAAACCTACTCCCTTTTTAAAAGTTTACACCAGTCAACATTGAATTACATTTAGGGATCACAGCCTAGCTACTCCTGGTTTCATGCAGGCAGATTTTCATCCATGAAAAACGTTTTTCTGAATGGAGGTGTTGCAGAGCGAGCAACCCACTGTTATCATGTACTCCAGCCGTACTTTGGCTAGTGTAAGTGTCAGCATTGGAAATTCCGCGCTTACTGTACTGAACGAAAGTAAGAATTTTCCGAAAATACAGCAGCAGCTACACATGGCACACACTTTCTTTATTTATTTGAACCATAATGGGCAAGATTTAATTTTCTAAAGAACTACATGTCATGAAAAGTTGTCATGTTTTATTCAAGTACTGTTTTTTCCTTATGTTTCTCCTTTTTTTTAAAATTTACATCTCAGTGTGCTGATCTCATCTAGCCTCCTTTAGCCACTTCCTGCTTTTTTTCACTTTTTCCACTGTCAGCTGCTCATTGCTCTGAACCAGCTTTATGTTGCCGATAATATTGGACTATGCCTGCATATTGTGAGTTGTCCTTGCTGCCTCTAGTCGCCACCGGGACACATGGGATAGGGACTACAACACAGCACAATACAATTTGTCACTAGGACACCAATATTCAACTTTTATGGCATCATAGAATCAAAAGCACTTTAATGTGATTTTCATCAAGCAATAAAGACAGAATTTTCTACAAAAGCGTTGGTGTGCTTGCAGCATATACTGTTGATGTTGCATACGATGCCAATCACTGGTTGTTACAGCCCTCGAATGATGGTCAATTCCGATATAGTGTATGATGGATATAGTCTATCAATAAAATGAAAACACAGAAACACAATTGGGAGACAGCTGTCACCCGATAACATGGAGTGCATGATAAGGACTAGGGATGAAACTTGTGTTTGGGTCGGGCATTTGAGGAGGACTCAGCTGGTTCACAGGCCCACTGAGCAAATGGGCCAATTTGCCCAACCGAATTTCCAGCTTGTGTAATATGCTCAGTGACGTCACCAGGGATCCCCAACGGTGTGTTTACATTACTACATTACTGTCAAGGTTGGCAAGGATTTACATTACAAGGTGCTGTGATTGATAATGGATTTACATCACTGGATATCATGATTGACTTGGGTATACATTAGGGAACATACAGAAAAATATTTTGTGTGTGTGTGTTTTATTTCAATTAAAGGATTAAAGGATTTTTTCAAGGTTGTATATCCTTGTCAATGAGTGTACCTTATGTCCTGTGAGTGTACCTTGCTAGGAGTAGGGTAGGCTTTGCCATCCTCCATGGATGGGTCACACACTTGCTGCCCTCCCTTTTGTGACCACTCAGGCTGCATATCTGGATAAGGCTCTGGGTGGACTTTTGGGGCTGGTGCACACCTAGGCGATTTATCGCGCGGCTTGAGTCGTACGATATCGCGCAAAACACAGATTCGCATTGAAGTCAATGGAGGCTGTTCACACCTTTGTGGTTTGTCACGGGGACTAAATCGCCTGTCGCACAAAAAGGTACTGAAGCTATTTTTGGGGGGTTGTAACGCGGTTTGGATCCCATAGACATTTCTAAGCATTGAAAACCGTGCAGTTTTCTAAAAACAGTCATGAAAACCGCTCATTAGCTCAGTCGCCTAGGTGTTAACCTAGCCTGAGTCACGCGATATGGCGAGTTTCGCGGCATTCCTAATTATAATAATATAAATACCCCAGTGGTCATTTACCATGTTTCTTTTTGTAGCTTCTTAGATTTGACTCAAATTGTTGCGTCCCCTGTGTCAACCTCTACGGCATTAGAGGACACAGGAAGTCAGTGCGAGAAACCACTGGGTGCTGTGGGATGGGGGGAATGGGCTTCGGGAGGGTGAATTCTGGAAGTGTTGAATTTGGAAGATACTTAAGAGGAGGATTTCTGTTCAACAGAGAGGCAGTCAGCAGCATGGACAGCAATTAAATGGAGAGAATTTAAGTAATATCTTTATTCTTTAACAGGGTGAGCACAGTTAGTAAGGCGACAGAGCTTGTTAAAGCTTATATGAGATTTTAGTGACTGGTTTTAAATCTACTGTAACTCCAAATGCGATAGTAATACTAGAATTGGTTGCCATTTCCCAAAGGTATACAGTAAGCATATGGAATAGGCAAGGACAAAATGCAAACAATACTGATGTAGACATTTTTTTCTGGTTGTAGACTTTAGGAATTATAGTGGCTTGATTGACCAAGTCAGTTGCAATGCATATATCACAATGTTATATGTGCAAGTATTATTTTACAAACACAAAGCACTGTATTTTTCTTACCCCAAGTAAGTGTCCCAAAACCACAGAAAGTCCGATGGATAAGGCTGGACTCCCAGTATCATCTGACCTCCGACTGTCCGTCGAGGCAAAAATGCAGAGGACCAGTTGTAGTGTCAGGACGATCTCAATGGCCAGGGCTTGTCCAGGAGTCGCATTGTTGCTTGGCTGTTCAGTGACATTCATTCATTAAAAAAAAATTATTTTACATAGAATACATATAGAAATAACTATTAGATTTCTTAATGATTAGGTTCCTCTTATTATTATATTACACAATATTAATTTGCTTTGTTTGCTTGAGGGCCATGTAATAAAGTACTGTAGCTAGGATACATAATTTTATGTTAAAATAATAAATAAAACAACATCACCTTAAAGCCTGTTATCATTCCCGATAAATATTCTCTCTTACAAATGCAGCATAAATAATAGATGTACACTCTGTCATTTGCAAAAAGAAGTTGACCTCAATAAGGCATGCCATTGATAACAACGTACAAGACAAAGTAATCCATGCATTATTTCAGTATTGGTTTCAATAAACTGTAACAGAAACTTACCAGATTGACTCCAAATGCTCCTTTGATTTCAGGTGGCGCAAACTCGGAAAGTAAAGCTGCTCCTATTACTGCACCCAACATCTGAGCTATGATATAGAAAAAGGTCTGAACTAGAGAGATCCGAGCCCCAACGAGGAGGGCTATGCTAACAGCTGGATTAAGATGGGCCCCACTTACGTGACCTACTGCTTGTACCATAGTGCCTATGCCCAAACCAAAGGTGAAGGCTATTTGAAGGACCGTTGGGATGGCTGATGACCATGATAGAGTTGATCCCAAGCCAACAAAAACAAACAAGAAGGTCGCTATCAGCTCAGCTAGAAAGGCCTTGAGACAGAAACCTGCACTTAGTTCTTTCAGCATGGTTATACCCTTTAAAAATAAAGAAGATGTAAACTAAACTCTAACAGGTCCCTGCTGGTTACAGGATAATCAGGTAACATGTTAGAGCTGATGTTATATATTGCTTTGCGTGCCATGATGTCCCAATTGAAGGCGTGGCATAGCAACAAGTCAGAAAAAAAATGGGAAATTTACTATGCATGATACACACCCACTGCCATGCCACTGTGCAAACCATCAATCTTTCTTATACCATGACTCACCTTCTAACAGCAGATATAAGTTTTGGGAGCTGTCAGCCAGGAAACGCTGAGTGTATTTCATACAGTATGTTTAAAAGGATGCTGTTTAAAATGGAAACGCTATAATCAGTAAAAAGACAAAGGTATATATGTTCTGCACCAGTGATTTAATTCCAAAATTATAGCCAGAATAATTCACTTTTCCTGTTTCATTGAATTTAAATTCTATAATGCAGTTCACATCAACTGACCTGATTTTTTATGTATCAGAAAAATAAAGGTTATTTCTGCAATTAGCCGCACAAGACCGGTGTCCATAAAATCCAAATGTATTGTAGTAAATTCTATACAGGATCCCTATATCTAACATGTACAGCATATATACCACCAAAGGATCTCTCCCACTCCAGCGCCTCTCACGCCTTTCACCACCTGGGCTTAATCAACCTCTATGATTAAGCCCAGGTGGTAAACCGCGTGAGAGGCGCTGGAGTGGAATAGATCCTTATCCTGTCATGTTGTCTTGGATCCTGTATGGAATTTACTACAATAAATTTGGATTTTATGGACACAGGTCTTCTGCGGCTGATTGCAGAAATATCGTCTGAGGAGTGGGAGCACACTGCACCCGGTGTGTACATTTATTTGCAATCGGAGGTGGAATTAGAGTCCTGGCGTTTTTACAAAAACTAAAGGTATTATTAGTTATAGTACAGTGGCCCATTGGTCAGCAATGTCGCATCACTGTATAGAGTACTGAGTTTATATCTTAGTAGGAAGCTATTTGCATGAAGTTGGCATGCTCTATGTTTGTATGGGTTGTGTTGTGGTGCTCTAGCTTCTTCCCACAATCCTAAAAGTTAAACATTTGCTGTAGAATTATCAGATTTACAAGCTAAATTTAGAAAACGCAGAGGAACTAGGACCCATTATTGCAGATGCACACTGCATAATTAAAAAGGCCATGGACTACACGGTGGAAGTCAAAATATGCTTTATTGATTACAGCAAAGCCTTTGACTGCGTCAATCATATGAAATTATGAAAAATTGGTATACTTGATCATCTTATTGTTCTTATGAACAACCTCTACACTGATCAAAAAGCCACAGACAGAAAATCGAAACGTAGACTAGTTCAATGTTGTCAGAGGAATTAGGCAAAGCTGCATTCTCTCAGTATACTTATTCAACCTGTATGCTGAACATATATTTAGAGACGCAGAGCTGGAGGATGTTAATAGAGGTTTGGTGAAATATTCAATAGACTGATGACACTATGCTCATAGTTGAAAATGTAGAGGATCTCGAATGCCTCTTAGAGAAAGAAACAGAACAAAAGAGTGAAAAGGTGGAAGCTGAGCTAAATCTAAAGAAATCTCAAGAAAATGAAGGATCTGACACCAGGAAAGACAGCTAACTTCAGTAGACAGCTTCTGCGTCCTTGGATCCATTATTAACAACTAAAGATCCAGCAGTCAAGAAATATGACATAGACTGGCCCTTGGTAAAGCAAGGATGAAATATCTAGAAAAGATCTTAAAAAGTACTAATGTGTCTATAAGAACTAATATCAGAATTGTCCAGGCTATGGTATTTTCTGTCACTCTCTAAGGATGTGAAAGCTGGACAATGAGGAAGCAAAACATTGAAGAATTGAATGTCCCTGTGGACTAATACCTTTAGCTTTTGGGATACCAACATTTTGGCCATTTATCTGCACATTTCTCCTCTTTATCTAAGGAAACAGTGTTTGAACTGAACAACCTATGCACCCTAAGCCATGATATCCCCTGCAGCCCCATATGTGGATGGTTTATCTGCGCACATGATACAGTGTTATGGATTTCTTTATGCTGTTTGAATTGCATCTTTATGTCGTCTGAAGAAGTAGACTAAGATCTATTATGTGTTATTCTACTTCACTGTAGACAATGAATGAGATTAAATAACAAGACGACCTATGGCCTGGTAAAATTGGTTGGCTACATGGATGTTGTCAAGTGAGGATGTTTTTGAATAGGTCTTGTAAGAAAACATGGAGACCTATTATACTGTATATGCACCGATTTAACACATTATCACATTTTGTGTATGTTATTAATGTTTTTATGACTTTGTTGTAAATAAAATTGACAGATATGTTTTTTTAGCAATGATGCTTGTTTGACATCTTAAAAACCCAAGTATTTTTATGTTGGTTATGTGTTTAGATGAAGCACAGAGATCTTGAGGAATGCTGAATAAAGTTTTACTTGCTTACAAGAAGATTACATCTATATATACAGCATTGTGCAGGAAACATATAGATAGGAAAACGTCCTGTCCTTCATAGATAAGCATGCATATAGAGACTAACATTGCACTGCACTGCCATCTACAGCTCAAAAGACATAACAGTATATTGTTTCTACACAGTGATCTGATGCTCAGTGTGAATGTTTCCTTAAGCTAGTAGACTTCTGAGGACTGAACAAAAGGTATCTAACAAGTTCCTCCAACCATGCTAAACAGCGTGGATGGTGGAATCTTCCGTGGTGAGCCAATGTATTCTGACAACCGTTGCCCACCACTTATGATTCTTACTAGTCTTAGTTTTATCTTGTTTTCACTGCAGCATTTGTTTAGCTGCTGTTAAGGCTGCTGGGAGTGCTGTCAGGTCTTTCTCCACATCTGGGAATAGGCTTGCCTTCAGAGCCTCTGGTGCAGCCTGGCCAGCACATTGAAATTAAAGTGACATTGAAGGATACTTTTTTTCCCCTCCCCCAATGTTATTTAAAGCACTTACCTTAAATGATGTCTCTTAATCCGATCTTCCTCTTCTTTCCTGTCCTTTTCAGCCTTCTCTCCAGCGATGCGACGGGTGTCCGATCCAGCGCTGACTCCTCTGTGCTGCTGGCACTTCCTGTCCCACGGAGTCTGCATGCGGTTGCATGTGTCCAACTGACAAGACAGCTGAGGTTTGTAATTCTGCAAAAAGCCACAGTTTTAAAAAGTTTGTTTTATTATTATTATTTTTTTTAAACATTTATGTTATAACATAAGTTAAAGTGGAACTAAAATTGCTTTAACAAAAAAACAGCAGGAGGTAGAGTTTTCCAGCAGAAGAGACATGCACAGTCTCTTTTGCTGAAAAATCTTTTACCTGACTACTGGTGAATTTTTATTTTCTCTGTACACTGGATGGCGCATGCAGCGTGCAATGTACAACCTGGCTCTATTCTTGGCATGCTGTCAGGTGCTGGAGACAATGTTACTTCTGTTTTACATCATCAGTGGACACCCAATGGTCAAGGAGGACCAAGAAGAATTGGTGGCAGAGATGGCGGGGAATGCAGCAGGATTCTGAACCCATTATCATTGCAGGACAGAACAGCAGGTGGTAGGAGTGTGCCATAATCAGGAGGTAGGAGTGTGCCATAATCTGGAGGTAGGAGTGTTCCATAATCTGGAGGTAGGGGTGTGCCATAATTAGGGGGTAGGAGTGTGCCATAATCAGAAAGTAGGAGTGTACCATAATCTGGAGGTAGGAGTGTGCCATAATCAAGGGGTAGGTGTGTGCCATAATCTGCAGGGATGCGCTGCAGATTATGGCAAAAAAGCTCATATTTTTTTCTTTGCCGACTACTGAACCATGTCATTTAGCATTTGCATGCTGTGGTGGTAGAAGGGTAAATGGGGTTTAGAATTTACACCAAGGCTCTAAGATTTTATATCCCTATAAAGATTTATTGATGTTGAAAAAAGACTGATGAGCTGCTGACCACAGAGTAGATTGGCTTTAGTGCTGTTTTCCTCCATCCCAATAAACCATATCCCCCACCCCTCTCTAATGCGGCGCCCCCCCACCATAAAACCTTCTTTAATCTGTAGTGTATCAGGTCCTATTCCTTTTCGCAGAGTAGGAGGTGCTCTTCAGCTGCTGTTACAGCTGCCTGCATGGGCTTTCAGGTAAAAAGTGAATTCCTGTCAACTTTGCCCATTTTCCTGGCAGCTCTTATCATCAGTACTGATTCCACTGGCCTACCTATTACTTTTCCTTGATTTAGGAATACTTTATGCTGAGATCAGTATCACGTATTATTTCAGGTGACACCTACCAAGTGTCACAGAGAAAGGTATATCTAGAGAAATATATAGAGCATGAGATCTGCCCCCAAGGACTACGGCCGCAGATATTTCCGAACATCAGGAATATATCTGAGGATTTTAACAGCCTCCGTCTCGTGCTGTGTCATTGCCGTATCACTGGGTACACCGCTGTGGAGACCCCACCACACTTCACTCTACAGTGCGGCCGTTTAGGTCGAGAACCCACATTGGAGGCTCCCCTGTTTAGGGTTGATAGCCTTATTTCTTGCAGTGGTGTGAGTGCAATCAAATGGAGAGATAAGCACCTATGGAACTTCAGATTCATCAAAGATCCGGATCATATGGAGTAAAACTGCTACACAAGGATACATTCCTTCCGAAACAACTACATGCATGTATCGTTGTGGGATCCAATTAGGATTATCTTTTTACCGGTTACACATAATGTGAGTACAACTCCGTTTTCTCTACTGTGGATATGTTTGTATCTCACTCACATCAGAGACTTCCTGCCCGGTAGGAGATTCATATGTTCAGTACCCGCATCATTATACACAGGTGATTCCAGGGAAGCGTTGTTTTAACTGTTTTTAAGTGTCGTGTTATAGGTGTCTTTATAAGTATAGTTTTGAAATACAATAAATTTTGTTATATTACATTACTTATTTGTGATCTATTCATCAGATCATTTCCATTTTTTAGGGATTTCTATTTATGGGGGACTGCATCTTTTTTGAACCATTTATGTGGGCAAAACGAGAC